GAAAGAAAGAAAGAAAGAAAGAAAGAAAGAAAGAGGCTAACATAGGTGAGATAGCTCAGTGGACTAAAGCACCAGCTTAGACAAACACAGACCACAGTTCAAACCCCAGCACCACTTGCCCCAACCCCGCCCCCAGGGAGGGCTGAGCCTGAGCCTGGGTGTGGTAGAGCTTGCCTGTAATCCCAGGGCAGGGGAGGCTGCAAATAGGAAGATCACTATGAGTCCCAGCTGTGTAGTGAGACCCTGTAACAACCAAATACATTAAAAAAGAAAATAAGGTTAATGAGAAAGATTTGGAAGCCTGAGTTCAAATCCCCACAACTGCTTTAACTAGTTATGTGACCCTGAGTGATTTACTACTTCTCTGTCTCAGTTTTCCTATATTTTTCAGAGGAGAATTACCATCTTGCCTACCTCATGGGAGTACTATGCAGACTGAAGCTGGCATAGTGCCTCACATCTACAATCCCAGCATGCTGGGAAACTAAGGCAAAAAGATCACAAATTCAAGCCTAACTGGGGCAATTTAGTGATATAGTGAAACCCTGTCTCAAAATAATTTAAAGGTCTGAGGTGTGGCTCAATGTGAAGGCATGGGTTCAATTCCCACTACAAAACAAAACACTGAGTTAAATATAAAAGCCTTAGAATCCAGGAAAAGCTGAGTAAGGGCTGGCTGCGATCACCCTTATTTAAATGTTAGAATGAGAGTGTATTGATGTCTACACACACACAAAGATAAATAAATAAATAAAGCCACAAATAAAAAGTACTTGTAATCCTAGCACTGTGAAAGGCTGAAGCTGGAAGACAACAAGTTTCAGCCCACTTTGGGCAACCTAGTGACTTAGTGAGATCCTGTTCAATATGAACAAACAAAAAGGGTTAAGGGTGAAGGCTCTTGGGTTTAATCCCCAGAATTAAAATAAATTTTTAAAAGGAATAATTAAATGAAACTCCCAAGAGGAGCAAGGAAGCACCTGCTCTAATGGCACACAAGACAGGCAGGGCCCTGCCCACTCCCCCCAAGCAGGGATCCTTCTAGCCTCATGGCCACAGGGCTCCAATACCCCCCCCCCTTGGGCCCTCAGTTGCCCTGGTGCAGAATGGCTCTAGCTCTACAGGGAACATGCATCCACCCTCCTTTGCTAAGGATAGCTGGGCCAGGGCCCCTGTGGGGACCACATGTCCACATCTGCTCTTGAGGATAGAGAATAGGAAATGCCTCCACTGCTCTGGTAACAAGCTGGACACACCCCAGTGACCAGTGCCATGCCAGGCTTCTCCATCATGGAGCATTGCAGAGGTGTAGGGAATAGGCTGCAGGACCATATGAGTCTGTGTGTAAAGGCTGCCTCTGTCCACCCCCCCACCTACTCCCCCAAATATTCTTTAGGGCCTACTGTGTGCAGGCACTATGCTGGGCCCTGGGGACAAAACAGTGAAGACAACAGACAAAAAGTCCTCTCCTCTGGGAGCTCCCATTACAAAGAACCAAATATTGGCCATGCAGCCTCTGACACCTTGCTGGCCTCTCTGACCCCTGGACTCCTCATATGTCAAGCAGGTAACTGAGCGTCACCTGCAATGAGGTTTGTCAGGGTCAGGGAAAGGGGCTCAGCATGCAGGGCCGTGCCAAGATGTGAGGCTCTTTCCCTCCACTGGCTCTCTCTCACGTGGCCCCATTGCTGTGGCACACAGGAATGGCTGTGACAACAGCTTCAGGACTGGGGGTTTCTGGAGGGGTCTGAATCCAGAGTCCAACTCCTCCCACTTTGGTTGCCCCAGCCACAGTGCTGGTACTACTGGTCCCCCTGTTTTCCTCTCCCAGGGGAGCACAAAAAAACCTCCATCCCCTTCTGAAGGGGTCCTGGGCTGACCAGATAGCTCATAAGACCAAAGCACCTGCTTCAACAGAGCACAGGGGCCAGGGTTCAGCAGCCTGGTCACATACTACCATCTAGCAGTTAGGGCAATTTCACTCATGATGTCCCTACCAGAATGTGGCCTCCTTGAGCAGCCAGGACTCATTCCCTGTCTGTCCCAGTGGATAGCACACAGTAGGTACAAAACAGCTTCTGAGCTCAAGAGATCAGTAGGGTTTGCAATTCCTGGCTCTTCTGGCAGACACAGGTCAGCCAGCATCAACCAACAGCCCCTTTCCTACAGTCAGTCTCCCTTCTAGGCACTCTCTTTTCCTCTTCACCCATCTATGTCACTCCTGAAGACAAGCCTCATGGCCAAGCCTTGGCCAGATGCTCTGCCCCTTAGCCCTATCCAGGCCAAGGCTGGGCACCCTCCTCCTGTGCCCTGCATTCCCATCCATCCTCTACTGCCCCACAGTGACACCGGCTGACACTTGCCACACTCTAGGCACTGTTCTCACCATTTTGAAGAGCTGTACTACAGCCACAGGTGGTCTGTTGATTACCACTCCCCCCTTCACAAATGGAAAAACCCGAGGCCCAGGAAGCCCCTGAAAGCCAGTGAATAACAGAAACCTTGCACAGCAAGCACCCACAGCATCTCACTGAGCCAAACCAAGGGGACTCACTTCTCAATGTGTAGTCACTGATTGAAGGAGACTCAATGAGGGGGATATAAAGGTCTCATTCAATTCCTGCTTGGATCTGGAATTCTCAGTAACTCTGGCCAGGTCCCAAGACAACCAAATGGCCAGAAAGTCATGGGGGAAAAGAAAACAAAAATGATACAATAAATGATACCATTTTCAGGTTTTCTACATCCCTGAGTGGCTAAACAACCTGCACATTAATCAAGGTGTGGGAGAAGAGGCTTGCTCTAGGTCACATGGCCAG